CATTGCAACAGACGCTGCACTGAACAGGTGTCAAAGTAGCTTCAATGATCCAAGCGTTCGAAGAAGTGCTGAAAGAGACGTTGTTCTGATGACTGACAAGAGTTCATCGATCAGTACTGCGACTTTAAGATCCTTGTCGTACACACTAGGGGCCTCAGGATTAAGAATCATTCCCGTCGGTATTGGAAATAACATCGACAGAAATCAGTTACTAGCCATGAGCAGCAATAGTGAAGATGTTATCCATGTAACTGAGGTAGAGACAGCAAATGCCCTGGAATTGAAAGTCATGCACAACGTATATCGACGTAAGCAACTATATATAATTATACTGTATATATTGAGTCCCTGTGTTTCCTACAATTATTTTTTGTATTACAGTTGCTGTCTGGTTTCCAGCTATTGCTCGTTGAAGTTATTTTCCTTTTATGGCTGTAACCACCAGTAATCCATTACTTCAGTTCTTAATAGTGACGACTGATAAACTTTTTTACTCTAGGTTTAACACTTGGTTCCACATTTTTTTGATAAGAAATTAAATCCAACAGATAAAATGATAATTTTTTGATTATAAAAAGCATCCAATATAATAACCAACATCTGGTTTTCTTTACAGTTTACATGCTGAACTATGACATGACGTTCATCATGTACGCCTTTTCTTCTCAATCGAGTAGTTACTACTCTTACATGCAGAATGTCATACGAACAATACTACAAAGATATGGTTATGGGCGATGTCGATACACGTTTATTGTCTACGGAGGATCTTCTGTAACGTATTACAGGTTCGACAGTAAGGCATTCCCAAACTTGGAAATGTTGCTGAGAGCCTTTGCCAGGATTCCTAGAGCAATTGGAGGATCTGCGACTAATTTATCGCACGCATTTGAACATGCCAAGGCTAATTTCCAAAGCGATTCCCGGTCAGATGCTTGGAAGGTTCTGGTGTTAATGATGGACAGGAAAACTGGAATGAATGAGGCAGCACTGCGCAGTATGACAACATCTTTAGAAGAGATGGGAGTGTTTATCATACCAGTAGGAATGGGTCGTGAAATAGACATAGTAGAGTACTACTACTTCACTGCCTACAGAGACTTTGTCACATTTTCATCGGATTACACGTCCATTTCATACTTGAACATTGGTGAAAATATCATGAACCGTGTCGTCCGATGTAAGTTATTTGATTTTTTGTGCTATATTTAAGAAAATTAATGAGAGCTCCCTGTGTCTTTTTCTAGTTTATGCTGAATGCTCTTTTCATTGAAAAAAAGCCTGTTTCTAAAGTGGGATTTTAACTCCCAATTCTAATCCCGGGTTTAGGCTGTGCTTCTACTTAGCTGACATTGTAGTATTTCGGCTCTTGGGGGATTGGTGAATTTTGCAATGCATTGACTTGTTAGTTTTGCTTGTATGACGTACAACAAAACAAGATTAACCACAGGATCAATAATAACGATAGCCATTTTGACGCCTATGATATTTATATGGTTCTTTTTTTCCTCCAAAGTTGAATACGTAGACATGATGTTCGTGATCAACGCAGGCTCTGTCAACTCTGCTGTCACTTATCAATTGATGAAAAATTGCATGCTGAAGATGATCAGGAAATTTGGAGTTTACAGATTTCGATATTCTGTTATCATATATGGTTCTTCATTCACAAAA